CTTTATAATTAATTATATTTCCTTATATTGTTACTATTTACTTATATATATAAAGTCATATATTAAATACACAACACTTCGTTCTCCATATGGTATAAAATCTCGAGGTTAAGAAAATTTGAATTCTTTTACAAACCCTATTCGGTTTTCATTGCCGAAATAAGAAAAAATCCTAAAAAGAAACGGTCAACCTTCATAGCCGACCACCACAGCTCAGCTGCCTCCACCACCTCACAGCCACCAACCACCAGTCTACCCCATAGGCCTTCATCATCGGTAGCAAAATCAACAGAGCCGCAAGCCGCGGTTCCCTTCCTGTGACCAACTGCGCCTTGCCACTCCTAGATGCCTAGCTGCAAGCCGCAAGCAGCGGCTCCCTCCTGCGCTTAGTCTGCCCCAGCCACTTGGGCAACCAGCCGGAAGCTAGCCACTCCAATCAGCCCCAGCCACTTGTCTTCTCTGTTGTGTCCAGCAACCAATCCGCCAGGCAGCTCCAGCCAGATGCAATCTAGAATAGACGCTGCTCCCTGCAGCTGCCACTCCCAGCCACAAGCTAGGTGCCTTCCAGCAGCCCCTTCAGCCAGATGCACATAGCCATGCAGCCTCCTAGCCATGCGGCCTCCTAGTAAAATCCTTCATTTGATTTTTATTCAGCCTTAGCAGTCATACAAATCTTAAATCATGTCAGAGATAACATAATAAGGTAAGATTACTTGGCAGTTCAGGTATGTTTTGTATCTCTCATGGTTTAAATGTCTCAAATAAGCCTTTCGTATTACCATGGATTTTAAATTCAGTAGCCACAGACCACATGACCAACTTCGCTCAATTTGTTAACACCTATACCTCATGTTCCAACAAGCACCAACCTTATAAAGTGGTATTTCTTACTCTCTCTTTGAATTTCAGGACCATAACTTGAAGAGGACAATTGGACATACTGAGGCTCAAAAACAGTTACACTTCTTGGATGCATTTGAGACACCACACATGGCTCTTTGCACCAGCACTCTTGACACGATATCGCTTTATCGCAGAAGGTTAGGTCATCTCTCATTCTCCACCCTTTTTTCTTTTTGAAATAAAACTCTCTTTCTCCACCCTTAAAGTTATGTTTCCCTATTTGTTTCAGATTCTAATAATGAAAATTCACATTGTGATGTATATGGGTTGGCAAACACAAACATGTCATTTTTCCCCTTCAATAATAAAGAAGCAATTTCCTTTTTAACTTGGTTCATTATGATATTTCAGGACCCTCAAATATTCTTAATATTTCTAGAGTCGATGACTTATTTCTTTTATCGATGATTGCACTAGAGTAAACTGGTTTTTCTTGTTAAAATCCAAATATGATATTACTCACATTATTCTTCAATTTCACAACATGATCAATAGTTTGAAGTAAAAATCAAATATTTTTGAATAGATAATGCTTGTGACTACTTTAACCAAACATTATCCTTCTCTTTTAAAAAAAAAAATTATTCATAGTCCTCCTGTATCTATACTTCACAACTAAATGGAGTAGCAGGAAAAAAAATATTGTCACTTATTCGCCACTACATGTGCTTTCTTGTTCCAAAATCATGAACCCAGACAGTAATGAGGAAAGCTGTGTTACCTTATCAACCGATTACCATCTAGAGTAATTTTATGTAAGTTCTAGTCTGGGAGGTCAGATTCACTAACAACTTCATCCCTCATGTCTTTAGGTATGTTACTTATGTTCCCATACATCAATCTCAAAAGAGGAAAACTTAACCTAGGACAATCAAGTGTGTCTTTGTGGAATACTCTCCAACACAAAACGGATACAAATGTTACCATCAATTAAGTTTTATATATCCAATAGTGTTACCTTTCTTGAAACCGAGTCCTTTTCTCATCATCCTTATTTTCAAAGGGAAATTATAATAGAAGATAAGGAGGACTTGTTCTTTGACATTCCTCCCCGAACCTTAACATTACACCCTCTAAAAAAACCATCCCACCAGAAAACCAAAGTCCACAAGATGAGCCTAAAAACTCAAGTCCTACAAAATGAGCCTAAATTGAA